TAAGGGGTATTTTAAATTTGGTTTTTTAAATAACTTTTAAAAAAGGAAGAAAGGCCCATATTAATATTTCTTTTTAACTACATTTTAAATGTTGTATATTGTATTGATTGTTTTGTTTTAAACTGGCTGTAAGCCGCCCTGAGTCCACCAGGAGAAGGGCGGGGTATAAATGTAATAAATAAATAAATAAATAAATAAATAAATAAATAAATAAATAAAGAAATAAAATAAATAAAATTTTTTTAATATAAACAAATAAAACTAGAACAAGAAAAGTAGGCAATTTGCCAGGAATCTGGAACAGGGAACTAAAGGATCCAAGGCTTCAGAGCTGAATGAATGCCCGAAATTCAGTTTTAATGTTTGTGGGTGTTTTTTGAATTTCTGCCCCCAAATGAGGAACCTTCCCAGATATGAAGAGGGAAGCGATTCGGCTGCAGGTGGAGCTGAGTCTGTGACCTAAAGGGGGGTCTCCAGGGGGGCTTTTCTCCCAGACCCCCAAAATTGGATGAACAAATGACTCTGAATAAAGAATAAAAAGAACTAAAAGAGGGACAGGGCCCAGCAGACGAAAGAGCCTTCCCTGATTCCCTTTTCCAGACCTTTGGAAGTTCCCTTTTTATCCTAAAATCCCAAAGGCCCCAGAGGTGAAGGGAGCCCCTCCCGCATTCCTGGCCTTCCGGAAAGGGGTGAGAATGGGGCTCTGGGGATTTGCTTGGGGGGCACAGAGGAGGAGGCAGCCGTGGGGCCGGTAAGCCTCCTGAAGCCCCCCCCTTTTAATTTACTACTGCATTTTAATCATTCTTGTCTTTTAAATCCTATAGATTATTTTGGTGGTTTTATATTTTATGGGTATACCATGCAAAGTCCCTCTGTGTGAGAGAGAGATGGTTTTAAAAGTTGATAAGTAAATCAATATATTATTGATTTATTAATATAAAATATTATATAGTGTATAGATTATATTGAAATATATCCATATACTGGGCAAGAGAGAGACTGTGCTGGATTCCTCCCCCCCCCAAAAAAATATAATATTTGGCATAATATTCTGGAAAGAAGTTTTTCTGGGCAGGAGAAACTTTGGACCTTGGGAAGAGAAGGAAGATCAGGGGACTGATGGGAAGGAATGTTTCATTGTCATCGTTGTAGAATTTCAAACTTTTTAACGGTAATTTATTTTTTAACCTTATTTTTTATACATTTTTATTTAGGGGTGATGTTATATCCTACCCCACCCAGAGCTCTGCTTTGAGGGAGGTGAAGGGATTAGCAGTATCAATAAATATCAATAAATACCAATGAATAAATTTTGTAGATCGGAGAGCACAGAATAAATAAGGGGCAAATCTGTTTCCGGGAGAGTCCTAATAAACGAAATGAAAAGGGGGGGTCCCGGCATTCCCCCCCCATGGAACTCCCCCTCCCGCACTCACCTCTCCGGCCAACCACGGAATCTCTCTGGAGACCCTCGTAGTTGTGTCGGCAGAAGGAATCCACTTCGGCCCTCTTGATCTGCATGATGACCTTATCGCTGTTCCAGTTGTCCACAAAGGGCTGCCCCAACGGAGTGACGGCCACATATTTCCTGAGGTCGCTGTCGAAGTAGTCGATCTCCTGCCGGTCGTAGAAGTGCCGCTCCAGGAACCGCACCCGCTGCGTCCCGTTGAAGAAATGGCACTCGGCCTTCTCCTGGAGGAGGAAATGAGCTGCGGGGGGAGGGGTGGAGCAGAAAGAAGAATGCCCTCAGGAGGGACTCCAGGGCCCATGGTTCCCAGAGGCTACTACAGGAGGGGCGGAGCGACGGGAAGGCGGAGTGATGGGAGACCTGCTGCGAGGGACTGCCGGAAGGCGCCCCCTGGAGGAGGGATGGGGAACCGTCGGTCCCAGCGAGATTCCCCCTTCTTGGGGGTCTGGAGGGGGGAGGGAAAGGAGGGAGGAGGGAAAGAGCTTCCTGAGGGACCCCCTGTTCTGGATCACATAGATCCATGTATCTTGTATAACTCTATGTATTCCTATGTAACAGGTCAGGGGGAGGGGTTAGGGTCAGGGGCGGAGCTTCAAAAGGGCATCCCTGGACACTAGCCTGGGTCAGTCCTTTGTTCTTGGGCATCACA